ATACCAAGCCTCTGTCAGGGTTGTTTCAAAATGAAATGAAATAGCCTCAATAAATGGAAACTATATTCATAATTAATATACAGGATAATTGATGTAGATTTTAATGAAAATTTTATGTACCTCCAAATCAGATCAGTAACCTTAATAACCCCTTCCTCACCATGCATAAATTTGAAGATTTCCTATAAAGAGCAGAGCCACCCCGAAATTATACTTAGTCCCCAAGGATCTGACTTCATCTTATCTTCTATTGCTTTTCCATTTTTCCTAGTCCTTTGAGATTGACATTTTGATGATGGTTTCCCAGGGTTCTATTTTGTTTTCTTCATAAGAAGCTGTTTGCATGTCTCTTTCTTGTTTCCACACAAGGTAACTCATGGGCAAGCATGGCTCCTCCCTTCCCAGCATCCTAGCTGCTCATTGTCTGGGAGATGAATTTAATAGGTTGATGTCCCATTCCAGGAACTTAAACTCTGAATTCCTCTGTGATGTTTCATGTTTCAGTGCTTGAAATCTAAAAACTCCTATAGACACTCTCAATTATTTAGGAATATCAATATAGTCAGTAAAAAATTCATGACATGATATCACGTATTAGTATATATTCATATTCACAGGTCATGTTTTGATTTTCAAAAAACCACACAACACTTCAAAGAAGTTATAGAGAAATTGCATATATTTACATTTTAAGTCAAAGAAAAGCTACTGAAAGCTATTGGGAACTAAAATATTTAATAAGAGCATATGTCAAAAAATAAGTCAAGTAGGTTTATCCCTTCAAAATGTATCTTGCACAAGAATAAAATTAGCATAAGCCCAATAAGTTTTGAATTTATACAAAAAATGCTGATTTAAAGAATCTTGAAAATAACTATGCTGAGAAAAAAACTGTAGAAGGAATATAAATTTTTCAGAGGAAAAATCCCATTACCTTTAACTAAGTAAGTTTCTTAGGAGACAAAGCCTTAAGTTCTATTATTTCTTTCACTTTTTGGATCTGATCATTCTTTTACTTTGTTGAAAAATCAAGAGGTTATAAATAGTTAGACAATAATAAGTCACCAGTGATCCTGTTCCCACTCAATTTCTATGTCTCTGTTTTTACACTTTGTGTTTCTTTATGTAAACACACATAACACATATGTTCTTATTTTCTTCCCTTTTCCCCACAAAACATATACACAAAACAGTATCATGTATTCTGTTCTGAAATTTTCTTTTTATCACTTTAGCATCCCCATATCAATACGTGGTATGTATCTTTTTTATTCTTTGAGAGGGGCCTGGTGTTCAATGTTGGGCTTCGTTTAAGAGCCCACAGTTATTGGACACAGGTAGCTTTCAGGTTTCTGCTAGTACACAAAACGCTGTGATGAATAGCCTTGTTTACAAATGTTTTTTCTTACAGAGGCAACTGTTAGTTATATTACCAGAGTAGAAACACTGACCAAAGGTAAATGCCTCTATAACTTTGGTAGCTATTGCCAGATTCCCTCTGTGGGTTACATAGTTTTGTCCTTCAAGCAGCAACGTGTAAATGTTCCTGTTTCCCTACAGCCTTGCCAACAAAGCAATTGTTCAGTTAGTTCTTGACTTTTGCTAATCTGATGGGAATATATCTGAGAACTGTGTGTTCATGTCCTTTGCCTTCCATGCATGCAGGTTTTAACACAGAAACAGTGAGCATTTATTCCTTTATAAAGCAGAAGCATGGAATAGTGGCACACCCCTATAGCATCTATCTCTACATTTCGGTTTATGAAAGTGGGATGAGGTACTCACTGTTCCAATACCAGCCAAATCAGGAACTGAAATTGCTGTTAGAGGTTTGGGATCATAAACATGGAAAATAGTTGTCTTTAAAAACCTATCAATTTTTTCTTTAGATCCAATGGTATCTTGAAATAATTTGCCTTGTTGAGTCCTTTCAGTGCCCAGGGAGAGGATATATCACATATTGAACTGACAACAATTGCTTATTTTTAACGAATTGGGACAAATTATTTCCTAGTTTTAGTGACTCTCGGTCAAAAGACTTACTTGAGCAAGGCTCCCCGTCAATGCGGTATCCCGCCCTTCCAAATCCAGCCACGACGTTATTTTGTAAGACTGTATTGGTCCCTCTATTTATCTAGTGTAATGACAAAGAAAATGCTTTGGGTCAGTCTCTTCCACAATTAGGCAATGAGAGCCAGTAGGCAACACACAGGATATTTAATTATGACTACACTTTCAGGAGGAAAATTTAATTCAGTATTCACTCCATTCAAACTTACATTACAAATGAACTATTGATATTACCTTCGGTCAGTGGTTCTCAACCTTCCTAATGCCACAACCCTTTAATACAGTTCCTCATGTTGTGGTGACCCCCAACCATAAAATTATTTTCGTTGCTACTTCATAACTGTAACTTTGCTACTGTTATGAATCGTAATGTAAATATCTGATATTCTGGATGTATTTTCATTGTTACAAATTGAACATAATTAAAGCATAGTGATTAATCACAAAAACAATATGTAATTATATATTCAATATGTGTTTTCTGATGGTCTTAGGCGACCCCTGTGAAAGGGTTGTTTGACCCCCAAAGGGGTCGCGACCCACAGGTTGAGGACCACTGCCTTAGGTTCTTAGTGTAAAACCATCACTAGACTTCTCAGAAAAGTACACTAAAGAGATTATTTATTATATTTTTATACCTTAGACTTCTTAGGAAAATGCATTAAAGGGATTATTTTTTTATTTCAGTCACAAAATCCACTGGATGTGGTTCAATATTTATAAGATAGACTAAATTACAGTATTATAGCAAGGTTACAAATATTTTGTCACTCTTTTTGGTTATATTCTGTTACCAATTTGATTTATTTAAAACAAGACAACCAAGGCAATTACAATGGACTATAAGATTCAATAGAGGCATTCAATACTTTAAATAAAATCTGCTATACTAAAAAACTGGGTAGCACGAGTATTAAGTAATGACTAAGCAATTTTATGAGTCAAGTCAAAGTGGTAGAAAATGAAAAGTACAAAGTACAGAAGGTCTAGTTCTTGTCTATAATGTCAGCAAAACGTTTAAAACCTCGATTATTTAAAGCACACTAAACACCCTATTTTTAAAGATTATGATAAAATAGTCAAATGGTATTCATAAAAGTAAGTACATTTTATTTAAAAAGATACAGATAACTTTAAAGAATAGGAATTAACATTTTATTACATTCAAACATTTATAAATAGATGAAAGAGAACATTATTACCTCATAAATATATAATAAGTTCCAGGTTTCACATTTTACTGTAAGGTGATATTAATAGTTGCACAAAATCAAAGCCCAATCCTTATCCCATCTTTCAAAGAGAGCTATTTGTAATTCTTTTTTGTTCCTATGGCTTAGGTGACTAAAATAAAAACAAGAGGAAGCCATATTTCCTCTAGATCCTTTCTCTGTACTGTTTTCATTTACAATATCATTCTGCATCTAAATAAAGACCAATAGTAATGGAAGAAATTTCATGGGAATCAAGAAGGGTCCAATAGTAATGTTAGATAAGAGTAAACAACCTTGCATATAGAATAAAAAACCATAGATGAGAAAAGGGTTGCAGAGATTCTATAGGCTGTTATTATAATTTTCCATTTGGAAGGAAACTAAATCCAGAGTCAAGTAGTAATATGTGCAAGGCACTCAGTCAGTGAGCAGCACAGAGACCCTGTACTGTAACCTGAGAGCGATAATTAATGTTAGAGAAGCAATAAATAAGAGAACTATTTAAACCAGTGGGCATCAGCACAAAGAAAAATCCAATGGCTGTTAGAGCTCACATTATCTTTTAAGAAAGTTCATTCAGTCCTTTAATTAGTTCATTTTACTAATTCACCAATCTTTAAGGAAGAAAGAGTTTTCAATAATATTTTGAGATTTATAATTTCTACAGAAATTAAAATCTTCAATAAGGAAGTTATAATTTTGTATAATGATAAGTTTGTTTGCATTACCTCAATTGCTGCATGCCAGAGAGTTGAACTTAAATCTTTTCTGTTCTGATAGGTTCCCGGCCAAACCGAAAGTGCAACCAAGTTTCCTCGGACTCTGTTGGCATCCCCCCATATTCTTATGCCTGGAAAAAATAAATCCCCCCAATACATATACATTTGTAATAAGTATTATGGGGGATGTCTATGGGGAAAATTAGTTTTCTAGTTTAAGCCTGATAATTGAATCCCTTAGATTTAAATTGAGCCCTCTGAACTCTGATAGTGAAACTCTACCTCTTTAATAGACTACCTGAATTAGGATCTTCTGGGTGCTTGTTAAATATGCGGGTTCACAGGTTCCACCTCAGGATTTAACAAACACATAAATAATTATGTATATATTTTAAAAGTTTGTATTATATTCTTTAATGACATTCAAGAAATAATAACCCCCTAAAATCAAATATAATTTTTATCAAATAACCCTTACTAGTGAATAAGCTTTTTGATTGACATCTGAGGAGTATTTTAAAAGTCATAGTAATTTAAACTATTGGTATTAGATAACTCTCATAAGATTGGGGTTTGGTAAATAATTCCTCTTGAGCTCTACTATCCACCATGGTATCCATAGCCACATGTGACTACTTACATGTAAAGTAAGTATGATTAAATTAAGTACAATTAAAATAAAAAATCCAGTTCCTCAGTCACACTAGTCACATTTCAAGTGCTCAATGGCCACATGTGCTTTAGAAATTACCATAATAGCCCAGATATCAACCATTTCCATTCTTGAAGAAAGATCAGCTGGACAGCATGGCCCTAGAGCTTACAGATAAGACTGTCTCAGAAAGATAAGTTATTTGGACCAAAATATTATTCTCTTACCTTCCCCCACTGTAAAGTGAATGATGTTATCATCTATGTCCAATCCATCTGTCCCAAACACACCGATTGCTGGGGAAAAGCCATGGTGAAAAGCACAGCCTCGAATGTAAGATGAGCCACGTTCTTGAATCTATAAAACATTAGGATTCAGTGAATATTTAAAAAATAAAATGAAAATATATTTAAAGGAAAAATTCGAAGTAGGTGATTTTCAGGAAACACACCTTGATAAATAAAATACTCAATTTATATTCCATAAAAAGAGATGATTTCCCAGCAGGTGTTTTAATCCTGGGAAATTTCCACATATATTATGATTAAATAAAGCAAAAAATAAAGTATGCTTATTTTAAATGCAGGTAAAGAATTCTCACTTTGCTATGCATTTATATTTCTATCATTACCTATAAAATGCTAAGGTACTAAAATTTATTTTTTCAAAATAGTTAGTTTACTATATGATTAACAGGGATTTTCTTTTTCTTCAAAATTTGATATTCTAGGCAAGAGGTTATGACTCAACTGTCTATTGGAACCAGTCAATGAGTAGGTTAGGGGTTTCAATTTCAAACCTACAAGATTACTTTTTATTTCCATAAGAAATAAGTTCTCATTTTTCTTAAATCACCAGCCCTCACAGAATATTTATTTTCCCACTTTGACAGAGACATGGGTATACAGACATAGGTATTTTTCATTTGAAATTTAAGCAATATTCACTTTGTTTAATAGAAACTGGAAATATGTTTGGTTATTTCAAAATAAAGTGAAGGTGTTAGGTACTATTATAGATGGTCAATCCTTTCACCTTCTCTTCTCTTTTTTTTAATTTTTATTTAACTTACCCTAAATAAATGCATGAAATGGGTAGAATGAAATGCACTATGAGTCTAAAACAGTTCACGGGGAATACATCTAAGAAAGTTGTATTATATTATATCATAGTCTTAGTAATCATAAGCTATGTCTATTTAATAAAGATAAATGAAAATCAAATCAAAATCAAAATATTTTACTTTGGATATATGCAAAAATTCAACATAAAGTACAAACCTGTCCTAGGTTAAGAAATGTGACAGCATATCGTGGGTCCGTGCTGTCCCTGAAGCCTTCCTGGCCACTGTGATAAAATTCCACATCACTTATCCTTGCATTTCCTGTGGGAAGGGGGCAGTTAAATTCATTTTTTCTTGAAAAAAAATATAAAACATTTTTAAAAAATCTACAAAAGCTGTAATTTTTCCCATTACAAACTTGTTTTCAACTCTTTCATGGAAATCTCATTAGTTTTTCATTGCTCCTTTAATCTAAATGAGGCAGTATTTCTGAACTTTTTTTTTCATTACACCCCAGAGCTTTCTTAGGCATTTTTTTCCTAATAGCTTCCCCTCCCCATGAAGTTTTAATAACACAGATATACTATGTATCTGTTAATGTATGGTGGCCCTTTGGGGGACTACAAACCATTGCGATAACTAAGGGTATTTTTATCCCTCAAGAACCAACTTCACCCCTTGGTGGTGATATTGTCCCTGTTAGAATACGTGACATAAGGCATGAGATATAATTCACGTGACATTTCCATTTTGATGTTCTAAAGAGCCTTTACGGGCATTATCTTTACATAACCTCTCTAGAATATGCACTGCCAACTATCTGCTCATCAGTTTATCATAAGTACCACTGAGCTGACAAAAGCCAATTTCATAGATTAGTAATAACAGCAAAAACAGCCCATGAGGGATTGCTCTGTGCCAACGCTGTACTAACTGCTGGCAGTGGGTGGTTTAATTCTCATACAACATCCTATGAGTTAGGAACTTTTATTACTCCTATCTTTTATGGAAGAAAACTGAGGCACAGAGATCCATGGCTGGTAAGAAACCAGTAAGATATAGTCCTTGCTTCAAAACTGATATTTAATAAAATGCATTAGAGAGGAGTTATTTTGCACGAGAAGGAAAAAACTGGTATAGTGGGGAACATAAGGTTAATATAATAAAGACAGAGAAGAAATGGTTATCACAGACCATGTGGGCCTACAAAGCCATTGCTGTGTTTTCTTTATTTACATCACAAAACAATAGGAGCTAGGAAAGGTTGTCATGGGAATAGGGCCCATCTTGGGACTTTAAGTGAGACAGACATGGATTACTAGAGCAATTTACCCCTCTAATCATCTATTTCTTTATCTTTATCTTGAAAAGAGGGACAACATTGTAATAACTATGTACGATGTCAGGTGAGTACTAGACTTCTTAGGTGAATCACTTAGTAAGTTATATAAATGCCTGTACTGTGCTGTACACCTGTAATTGCAAAATAAAAAAATTAAAAGGGAGGCAATATTTATGCCATAGTATGATGGGTATTAAATGAGATAATATGTGCAAATGCTTAGCCCAATGCCTGAAATCTTGTATCATGTCACTAATAAAAAACAAAACAGTGAAATAAGCCAGTCAGAGAAAGATAAATATCACATGATCTCACTCATTTGTGGAATATAATGAACAACATAAACTGATGAACAAAAACAGATCCAGAGACACAGAAGCATTGATCAGACCGTCAAATCTCAGAGGGAAGGTAGCGGGGTGGGGATAAGGGGTAGAGATCAACCAAAGGACTTGTATGCATGCAAATGAGCCTAACCAATGAACACAGACACCAAGGGGGTGAGGGCATGAGTGGGGGGGTGGGGGGATAAGGACACATATGTAATTCCTTAATCAATAAAGAAAAAAATTCATATTGAAAAAAACAAACAAAACAAAACAAAACAAATAAAAACGTGTCACCTTTGGAGTTAACAAGGGGAAAGAATCAAGCATATTTCTTACATTTCCTATATAAACTGTCCCTCAAGGTAGTCAAATAATTGTTTGGAGGAGTTTCTCTTTGTAGAGGTATTCTAGATTATAAATGAGGGAACAGTATAATTAAAATATCACCATTTTAAACCTCAGTAGTTTAATCCAGGCAATGGTCATGAATGGCTGCTAACATCTCAAAAGGAGAAACAGTTATACATGATGTGCCTACTAATGAAAAATTATACCATCAACTATGAAGAGTTCTTGCATAAAAACTGATTCTGTATCTGATCAGTTTTCTAGTTCTAACCTACACATGCATAAAAAATATAAGTGAGACAGAAACAACTTAAATTCTAGGAATGCAATCCCTAAATCCCAGAATGTTGGAAACACTATAGGACAAATGACCCATTTCCTTTTATCAATAAAATGCAAGGAAAAAGAAATGAATCAGAGACATTTAAGATTTATAACCAATTGCAACATGGATCTTATTTAGATCCTGATTTGAATAAAGAGAGCGCAGAGGAAGGAGGAAAGGGAAGAAAAGGAAGGGATGGGAAAGATAGGGAAGAGAAGGGAAAAAGGAAGGAAGGAAGGAAGGAAGGAAGGAAGGAAGGAAGGAAGGAAGGAAGGAAAATGATGAATAAATTGGAAGAATTTGAACAATCACTTGATGATAAGGAACTATTATCATTTTTAAGTCTGATACCTACAGATATTTTTAAAAAGTCTTAGAGTTATATTCTGAAATGTTTCTAGATTAAATAATATGTGGCTGCTTCATTCACAATAGTGAAAATAAGAAAACAACCTGAGTGTCCATCAGCAGATAAATAGGACAAGGAAGATGAGGTATATGTAAACAACAGAATATTATTCAGCTACGAAAAAGCGGGAACTCTCCAATTGCAACAATGTGGATGTATCTTGAAGGCATTACAGTGAAATAAGTCAGACAGAGAAATACAAATACTATATGGTATCACTTACATGTGGAATCTAAAAAAAAAGCTGAACTTGTAAAAACAGAATAGAATAGTGGTTACCAAGGGCTGACGGGGGGGAGAAAGTGGGGGAGATGGTTAAGGACATAAACTTACAACTAGAAGATAAATAAGTCCTAGAGATCTAACGGACAGCATAGCGATTATAGACAATCTATATATATAAAAGCCTAAGCGACCAGTTGACCAGTAGCTATGACGCGTATGACGTGCACTGACCACCAGGGAGCAGATGCTCAACTCCAGAGCAAAAACCACAGGCCTGAAAACATGGAATAGTCTGATGAATCTCAGAGGGAAGGGGGAAGAGGGAAGGGTGGGAAGAGATTAATCAAAGACCTTATATGCATACTAGAGGCCCAGTGCAGATTCGTGTACAGGTGGGGGGTCCCTCAACCTGGCCTGTGCCCTCTCACAATTTGGGACCACTTGAGGGATGTCGGAGGGCTGGTTTTGGCCCGATCCCTGAAGGCCAAGTCAAGAGATCCCATCTAGTACTATATTATAAACTTCAAAGTTACTAAGAGACTAGATCTTAATTGTTCTCACCACACAAAAAAGGAATAATTATGTGATGTGATAGAGGTGCTAGTTAACACTCTGATGGTAATCATATTGCAATATATAAGTGTATCAAATCAATACATTGTACACCTTAAACTTACACAATATTATATGTTAATTACATCTCAATAAAAAAAAATGTGGCTGCTTCAAAATAATCCAGTGGCTTAAATAGCGTGGGAGGGCATATAGATGACACAAGATTGGGGAAAGCTGATAATTGTGGTAGCTGGTAATGGGATTCATTACACTATTTTCTCTATTTTTAGTATGTTTTGAAATTTTCCTTAGAAAATAACAGATCTGTTGTGCTTGTTATAAAATGATTTTTGATTGGGTGAGAACCTGGACAAGCTATTATCTAAGGTCATTGTTAATTTGATAATTCTTACTGTCTGAAGTAAAATAAGTGGAATAATGTTGGGGATTTGGTATGAGAAGGTAGCACATGGGCTATATAATCCCACTCAAAGCTTTATTTTTCCAAGTATCAAAAACAAGACACCAGGCCCAAAGCGGAGTCACTTATGCTAAGTCACACAACAACAAACTGAAATTTAACTTAACTACAGTTTTGGCTCTTCCAGAAATGGAATCTTAAATCAGTGAATCAGGAATGGCCCAATCAGCATCAGGGGTAATGTGCCTGATAAACCCTTGCCATCCCCTACAGAGAAAGTAACCTTTATTTATTGTTTAAAGTGTTACAAATAGTAGTACATATATCTCCTTTTTTCCCCACTGACCTCCCCTCGGCCTCCCTCACCCCCTGGCACATGCCCTCACCCCCCTAGTATCTGTGTCCATTGGTTATGCTTATATGCAGGCCTTGCACTAACCAATTTTTTTTTTACTGAGTATAACTTCCTTGTTCCCTTCTGCCTATAAATTCTTTCCTTGTGTACGGTTCTTCAGAGCTCCATTTGACCTGCTATACTGGATGCTGCCTGATGCATGAATTATTAGATAAGGCCAGTAAGATCTTTAAAACGTACTCAGTTGAATTTTGTTTCTTAGCACAGGAGATCCTATAAAGACATGAGAATTACTGAAGATCTGACTACACATAGAAAAGACTGGGCTATATTTCATCTAGAAAAAGAAACTGAATTTGTACCAACCTTTAAAAGTCATCATATTTTCAGTGAATGAGCTGATCAGGACACGTGCACCAAATGATTCCTGGAACCAACCTGGGTAGTCTTCACCAAGTATTTTGATGTTCCTGCTCAGTATCCCAACATCAGCTGCTAATGTGTAGCTCTGACGTGTTCCAGGAACTTGGTATCTTTCACCTGCAACAGGACAGCTAGGTTATTACCAATGCTGAGAAATTCCCATCTTCATTAGTTTATTTGCTGCTGTTCATAGACATAGCTTTCGAATATGCCAAAAGTTAACACAAATGCGTAAATTGATTAACATTTTATACTTAACACACATAGATGGCAGACTGAAATTATGATAGCTTTTCAATAAAACAAAATGTAATCAAAAGTATTTCTTTTATATAAAAAGATTATCATAATCAGCAACGAAGTTATTGCTTCTTAGGAAGTTTGCAATCACTTTATACACATATACACTGTTGTAAGGCAAGTTGAGAAGCTGCTTGAAATTCTAATAGATGAGGAAGTGAGGTAGAGAAGTAAAAGCATTTGCCCAAGGCTGTGTGGAGAATCAGCAATACATTGATATTACCTCTCCTGACCCCCAAACCTTGGTTTGTTCCACATTTCCTGGGCATACTAGTATTTTGTATCAATCACAATTCTTTGTAAATACTAGTAGCATAGCAAACATAGTGTGTACACTTGCATCTTAATGATCTAGAAAACATAACCTAAATTCCATTCTACATTTCTAGAAATGTTAGTCAAAACTTTAAGACAGGCAGGTACATTTCAAACAGAGAGAAATGTTTGGTAGTTTAAAGGAAAAACTCAAAGACTATATAATGTCAAACTTCCAAAACTTTTTGTTTGACGATCAAAATGTTCTTCAACGAAAACTTTTCTTTTTGATTTAAAGGAAAATAGGTGATACAGAATGATAGACACATATGCTTCTATTAAAATACTGCTTTAAAATGTTCTCTTAAGTTTCTTTTTCACGCAGGCCACATATCCACAGCCTCTCACACCGCCTTACAGCTGGAGTTCTCGCGAACACCAGAGCATCTAAGTGGTTTTCTGACATCCTCCTCCTGTCTGCTTCCACGTCCTGGAATTCCGAGGACGGAAGCAGGTCAAATGGGGGAAGGGTGGGTCCTGGGAAGGCCCTGACCCTACAGGCTGAGATTTGGTCTTCAGTTGATTCTGAGAAATTCCTTCTTTCCTGGAGAATTACAGTTTACCATTTGGCTGTAGTTTGTTTAAATGCAGTTTCAACTGAGGAATGTGCCAATGAAACCAATCAGGACAAAGATGCTCTCGGATCAAGGGTTTTCAAATGTTAGTGTGCCTGAGAGTCACCTAGAAGCCTGCTTAAACAGAAAGTGACACCTTACCCCACAGAATGAGAGAATGCAGTGCAGTAGATCTTTGCTGTATATCTGCTAAGTGAAAGAATGGCTACCGCAGGGATTCTTCCTAGCCAGCATGTAAACAGTAGCACCCCTTGGGGACCAGTGCCAGTCTGCGTGAAATGCTCTTCTAAAATAATTGTGAGACGTTTCATGTAATAATTGTAATTACAGAGGAAAGCACTAAAATGTGACGACTTTAAGACATTTTTAATTACATATCTATTTGGTTAAAGAACCACCACTTACCAAGGTGAGTGTAGGAAAGGGGCTTATTGAGAATGAGAATTTTGTGACCATGCAGGATTTTAGCGATGCTTCTGGTTTCTGTCTGGTGGATATCATAACCCGTGGTTGTTATCACAATCTCTTCTCCCTCCTTAGGAAAAATCAAGTGCCAAATACAAGAACAATTTTAAAAATAGGTTTATTTTTCTTAATAACTACTCAAAATTCTAATTTATTTATATCTGAGTAGAATCAGGGTATTGTCACAGAAAAAAATACCTATATATTTAGATGTCTAAAATAAATATGCTTCTCTTTGATATTATGAATTCTAAATTTTGAGTTATCTTAGAATTTTCTTACATTTGATTCAGTCATTTGATAAAATCAGGCTATACATTTAAAAAATTAAATAAATAAATCATATTTTTATTAAAAAGCTGATGAGAACAATACTCTTTAAGACTTAAAAATTTTTTCCGAGGATTTTAAAACTTAGTTAACTATCATTTGAATTCCTGAAAGGTAGGAGGAAGATGAATCTTAAAGAGCAAGAAAACCAAGTCTTAGAATCTGTATTTGTATACGACAAGCTCCTTCTTGTTATCCAAATCTCTGCTCAAATGTACCTGTAGGGAACCCCTGTAGCAAAAGACAGATTAACAAGAGAAAAGCATCTAAATTTATTTAACCTAAGTTTTATGGGACACGGGAGCCTTCATAAGGGTGAAGATCTGAAGAAATTGTTATCCCTGAGTGTTTCTATGCTAGGTTTCATGACGAGGGACAGTAGTGGGAAAATGTGACAGGGTATGAGTTCAGTGCAATAAACTAGGAGAACTAGCAAGGTTCATTCCAATTCTTCTTTGTGTCCCTTTGTCTCCAGAGATAAGGATGGTCTTTTCCTCTGGGTACAGGGAGGGCACCTCACACATGAAGGTTTATGATCTGTTTCAGGGGAAAGTAGAAAGTCCTTCCAGCACAGGCTCTTTCTCAAATTCCTTCATCTTAAAATATTTAAGGTTTTGGGACAGCATGTCTTGAATTTAATATTTTTGAGTAGCATGTCTTGAACCCCATCTTACCCTTGACAGATGCTTTCTCTGGCCACCCTATTTAATGTTATCTGCCACCCTCTACTAAGGTAGTCTGTCTCACAATACCTGTTTTATTTCCTTCATCATGTGAATCATAGTCTGATATTAACACATTTGTTAATGTCTGCTTCTCCCACCCCAACGTAATGTCCACTATAGTTTGACCAATTTCTTCACCACTGAATCCTTTGTCCAGAAAATGTCTGACACTTGGTTAGATATTAATTAGATAATTAATATGTAAAACATATTAATTGGGTAAATAATAAAAATATTAATTAGAGAATACGGATATTGAAATCATTTAAGTACCATCTAAAAAATAATCTCAACTCAACTATCACAAATAAGAACCTATTGTACACAGATTACAGTACCTCCCAATAAATCTTTCTATTTACCAATTTTAAACTACATTAAGAGAGCCAACCCCGTTGATGATTTGTTTTGATTTACTCAGACGAAGCCTTTCTTTGTTCTGTGACTCAGTAGAAGGGAACTGGTTGAGATCTGAGAGCTTGGAAAAGGAGTCAATCCATTTCCCTGACCTTTCAGCATTAAAAAGAGTATTTGTAAAACATGTGAGTCAATGGCCTATGCACACTTATTGTTATAGTAGAGATGGAATTGCCACCACTCATTTTACCAAACTTGCATTTAACACAGGCATTATTTGAATATCATTGGGCCTCAGGATTTGTTTTCTTTCCCAGTGGTTAACATGTAAAATAAACAAATTAGAAGAAAAGAGAGAACTAAGATAACAATAAAATGTACTTAAAACAATTTCTTGTTTCTGTTTTGCAAGAATTTGTAGTAAACAAATATTTTTACCCCAAAACTTCCACATTTCCCTTTCATAACTAATATATACAAGTTGTTCTTTACATGTTCTGAAGGACCTTTGACACCACAATTTTTAAGTGCCTGCTACCAGGTCAGCATTTTGAGTGCAAGCTAATTGCAAAATACACATTTCTCAACTGGCTAATCATGTGAGAAATAAATGTCCATGAGAATAAAGAAGAAACCTTTTTTACGTTGACCCACTGTGTGTGTTCACTTTCCACCACATAGTGTTTCCTCTACCTGCCAATCCACAGCATCCATCAGAGACAGGACTTTGGAACCTGCCTCTGCGGTTTCTGAGAGTTTAGTTTTATATATCGAACGTGGAAGTCCATGAAGGTCCAGCTCACCAAACACCCCTGCAGGAGAAAAGCACACTGCTGCTTACTCACCACACAGTACTGAGTTAGGTGCCGAAATAAAATGAAACTGTTCTTGATATATTCTAATAAGTGATTGAACATTTTAGAATGAGTGAAACCAATCGGGGTCATCTGCTCAGGGCTTTGACACTTTGATTCACTTCTAGGACTAGAACTGAATAGACATTAAGGCCAGTACACAACAATATATGAATGAAGATGCTTAGTTCAACAATATTTGAAAATATGAGGAAACTAGAATTAATTAAATTGTATTTCAATAGAAGGATGGGATAAACTGTAATATACTAATTCCATGGTGCAATATGCTATAAAAGGAAAGGGTGTTATCTGCAAGTATTTATCTGGAAAGACATCCATAACATTTAGGAAAAAAAGCACTAAAATGTGAAAAGAATTAATGCTTATAGAAAAGAAAGATTGTGAAGAAAGCCAGATTGGAGATGTATAATGGGCATATGGGGAGATTGGTTAATGTTAGTTTTATAATGAATTATATTTTGGTTTAAAATATACACATCTATATCTAATTTAATGTAACATGATTTAATTTTGAAAAATCTCTGCCACTTTTATAATCCTTTACTATAAATAAATATTTGTAAAAGCTTCTGAACCATACAATCATGAACTAATAATACTATTTTAAAGTACATTCTTAAAACTGATATGCATGATACTTTAATGTCTGGAAACACATACCTAAGACCTTTGATCCTTGATTTGGTCCTTCTGGGAAAGCCCACTCTGGAGTAGAATGATTTCCTCTGAGAACAATCTGTAATTCTCCTTTAAAAGGGTTATCTTCCCAGCCACCAATTAATCTACCTCCCTGCAGTGAAGCAGAAAATTGTCAATACTTAAAAACTGAGCAGAAAAAATTCCCCCCATAAAAAAGGAATTGGGAAGACTGGAAGCCTTGTCTAGTGAAAATGAATAAATTCTGTTATCCAAAGAGCAGTATTATAACTGGAAGTGACCTCAACTTAATCTACTCACTATGGGATAGGCAATTTAATTTCCCAAGGTCAAGTTCAATATCTATTTACTTTCAGAACTGGACCTAAAACTGGAACCTTTTAAGACCTAAACTACTGCAGTTTGAACAGATCCCACTGGGTTGTAAAATAATATGGCCTATATATAATACATCCCTCTACTTACATCCAAGCTGTGCCATTTATGAGCCATCATTGTTAGTAATAAAAGCTATTACTAAATGCTTGCTGATGCTATGTCAGGCATAATGTGTAAGGCTTTACCTATATTGTACCACTTAACCTTTACACTAAATCCATGAATTGGTATTATTCACACTTTATAGGTAAGAAAACTGATGCTGAAAGTAGTTGAAAAACTTTTCCAAGGTTACCCAACTATTAAACAGTGAGGCAAGGATTCAATCATAGCTTTAATTTGCCTCAAAGCTCACACATGTAACTAAAATATCACACCTTTAAAATATTAAAAGCTCAGTTTTACCAAAGAAAATCTACTATACATTTTTATTTTTTAACTAGAGGCCTGATGCACGAAATTTGTGCAAGGGGCTCGGCCTTCGCAGCCCTGGCTTCGTTTGGAATGTCATCCTTCCAGAAGGACGGTGGGAAGGTCGTTTGGCTGTCCAGTCTAATTAGCATTTTATGCTTTTATTATTATAGATGGTGTTAATAGCTTTTTGGTTAGACCATTATTTTAAATGAACAATAATAAAAGACTGCCTGGCTGGCGTGGCTCAGTGTTTGAGCATCGACCTATGAACCAGGAGGCCATGGTTTGATTGCTGGTCAGGGCACATGTACAGGTTGTGAGTTCGATCCCCAGAATGGGGCATGCAGGAGGCAGCTGATCAATGATTCTTTCTCATCATTGATGTTTCTATCTCTCTCTCCCTCTCCCTTCTTCTCTGAAATCAATAAAAATATATTTTAAAGTATATAATAATAATAATGATAAAAGACTGACAGAACAATTAGACTGATTCTAGGGGTGGGGAACCTTTTCTCTGCCAAGGGCCACTTGGGTAGTTATAACATCATTTGTGGGCCATAGAAAATTATTAACTTAAAAAATATCCTGTTATATTTGGTCAAACATTTAATTAACTCACTCCTAATGCCTTGGCAGGGCCAGACAAAATAATTTCACGGGCCGTGTACGGGCTGGGGCCAGACATTCCCACCACTGGGTTAAATGGTTACATGATCAAGACCATCTGAGGTTTCTGAGAATGAAGTGATTGTTCTAAACTACTGAAATATTTTATTAATCTGATTCTGTTTTCATAATTCCACCCACATTCAGTCATTTTAGGAAATACTTTTTGTTTTCTTTATTTTTAAAAAATGTATCTTTATTATTGAAAGTATTACAGATGTCCCATTTTCCCCCATAAATCCCCTCTGCCTTGCACCCCCCCTCCCCCTTAGTCCTTCACTGCCCTATTGTCTGTGTCAATAGGTTATGCATATATGTATATAAATTCTTTGAAAAGGCTTAAAATCTTTTAATTTTTCCTAGGACTCCTGGGCATTCTCTGTTGGTTGGATCAAGCTGTGAATTTAACTGTACCTTATAATAACACAACTATCTTTGTAGGACTGGAAATGAGAAAACCTTACACTAAAAGCAGCATGATAATCACTCCGTAAGGAATGCTTAGTCCACAATATAAAGAAGAGCAGAAATATACTAGACTTCAAGGGCAAGAGCCAGCTGTGTTTTTGTTTTTGTTTTAACCTATTGAATATGCTTTCTTATAATTTTTCAGTAAACCTCCAACATTTTAGAATTTGGTTAATAAATGATAAGACCTTTACTCTTACCTGCAGTGATATGTAGGTAGCATTCAAAACGACTTTTCTGTAAGAAGACTCTGCAGCTTCCACATTATGTTTATCTTCCAGTTCCAGAACCCCCCAAATAATGAGCCTTTCCAGTGGTGGGATATCTGTGTCTGCTACAACCCATGTTCCTATAAAACAAGACTTTAATATAAGAAATATAATCCCAAGATTATAGCCTATAGACAAACCTTCTCAGCGAGTCTTGGTTTTGAAGTGAGCAACCCTTTCCCCACACAATGACTGATTCTTGTCTCCCCAGAAAATCTATATTCTTAATACTCAGGTTTAAGTTCACATGAAACCCAGAAGGCATCTGTTATCCAGGACACAATAACAGAATCCATCGCCACATTTGCTCTTTCCTGATGTGTGCTTTATAGAGGAGGAATGCTAACTATTGTGTGGCATCTATCCCAAAGTTGCATAAATACAAGCATTTTACTTCTTTCTGTATTTACCTTCAGGGATAACCACATTTGCTCCTGGGTGAGGTATGGTATAATTATTTTCCCGAGATGATTGCCAAAAAGAATCATTTGACCATAAGCTGAAAACAAAAGAAAAATAATCCCTTAAATATTATCTCTCTGTATCTAATGACCATCTCCTGAGGGTGTAGCACTATAACAGATGATTTGAGGATGCTAGAATGCAAATTAAATAGTTTATAACTTCACTAAGTAGACAAGCTAATATGTGAAATTAGTAACATACTCAACACACATAACTGCCTATATAATTTTTTTCTCCATTGAAGAAAACATCTTTTCCACCACAATCTGAATTACTTTTTCTCCCACTAACTCCTTATTGTGATACACGAATTTTGCTGCTCAGGATGTGTCACCAAAGAGTTCTGTGATCTCAGGTAATTCACTTAAGGTCACTGGACTTCACCTATATAATAAGGGAATTGGTCTAGTAATTCAGATCTAACATTCTGCCAGTCTGAGATTCCACATAATTTCTGTAAGGTTTTTCCATTTTCTCATCAGGGTCATTGTCAGGCTCAAGTGAAGCAATGAGTGTGGAAGTGCTTTGTGACCCCCACGAGGCACTGTGCAGTGGGGGGACCCAGGAGTGACATATGGAAAGGTTCATGTCAAGTGCGACTGAAGGTAGTAAACAGAAGGCCTATGTACTTGTATGTGGCTGGTCGCTTCCTGGGAACTGGATTTCTTGATGGCGGATGTACAGGAAAGCAATCCTGGAGAACGCAGCAGTAAGCTTGGAAATTAATAATAACATCTTTCACATCAGGATCCAGGTTCCCAGACACGGGCTGGCTTTGAGGAAGGTCATTTCTCCCCGACACTAAAAGTGAAGTAAAGCAGTTTAAATTAACATGATGACCAAAGTACTCAAATGTAAGCAAAATCAAAGCTATTTGAAAATATTCTTTAGATAGTAACTTGGTACAATTCAAATGAATAGAATTTATATGGAAAAATTCTGACAAACTGCATGTTTTATTGAGAAGCATGTAGTCAAAATATCTTGAAAAATGAATATTTTACAATCTAAAAATTATTTTAAAATATTTTCAAAAAATAATTAAATAATAAAAATGAAAACAAAATATATGATGACAACTTCCATTGTACTCATTACCTCTAATTTTGTGAAATACATTTTGGGGCCACATTTAAATTAAAAATGTTTGTGTCATCTCCAAACATAAAATGTAAGTTTTTAGTTCAACGCAAGGCTTTCCCAGCATAAATTTCACCTCCAGTCCTTTCATTCAACAAACATTTCTTGAATCCTGCTATATAATTGTATAACACATTTGCTCATTAAGCAATTTTTCTCCTCCTTTAGACAAAGCGTTAGATAAAATAACCACTTCTGGCTAATGAATACATACCCAAGTAATACAGAGTACTAGTGTTTGCTTCAAGGTGCCAGTCTCCATTCTTGCTGGTATTCCAGCTCAAGGGATTTGAGGAGCCATTCCTCATATCAATAACATTAAACATATCAGGATTTTGAGTGAAGTTATGAGATATGATGACATAGTCTTCTTCCTATAGAAGTTTACAAAAAAGTGACTTGTTTTATGTGTTAATTCCCTCCCTAATATACATTAATTAAGATGACAGAATTAGCCCATATATTAGGACAAGTTTTGGTTTTAGTTTCTTTTTCATCTTGCATTTATATTTTATTAACATTTTATATGTCTATAGCAATAATGCTAACGCTGTCACTAAAGCAATAAAAGCCCCTCTCTCTCTACATATATATATGTTATGTATATATACACACACACATGCACATATATATAAATCTCAACACACATGTATACGTATGTATTTAGAAACACATGTTATTTCTATAATGTTTGTAAACATTTAAAACAATGCAACAATTCTAGGGTTCTTTTTTTTTTTTTTGGCTGTACATATGTAGTATAAGAATATGAATGAAGAAAATGAAGACACCCAATTCATGATAATGGTTACCATTAGAGGTGGAGAGTAAGGAGATCAGGGTAAGCCATAAGCCATACAGGGAACTTCCACTTCATCTAAAATGTTTATTTCTTTTAAAAATCAAATGTAAATATTCAGGGTAAATTCAATTCAGACAGAGGTGGGTGATGGACACAACAGGATTTGGACTATTTTCTAGAATTTTCTGTGTTTGATATATTTCATAATACTACTAATAAAGCCCTTGACTGGTATCTGAAACATCATAAGCATTCAATAAGTGTTAGTTATTATCATGGTAATAATAACAGGGCACAAGTATAGCACCTTGGGACTATGGCAAGAAGATTGCTTACTTCTGATTATTAAATAAGGATCCTTTTTTTTTTAACTTGTCTTAGATTTAGGGTGGGTCATGGAGGGGGTACAGGACTTTAACAGGCCAACATGTGAGACAAGAGCATTCTGGTCCAAACAATCAGAGTAAGGATGAGAATGTACCCTGTGGTTGAGTAACATTCAATCTTAATTATTAGAAGATGGATGTTATAGCTCTTTGTTTACCTTAAATCCATAGAATGTTGATGTGTATGATATGTTGGTTATGTGATCCACACCTTTAAAGTACCAGTTAATGTGCTTTGCATTTGGAATCAGAGCCATCCATCCAGACATATGAGTTAGTCTTTTCTTCCGAAAGGGAACGATGCTTGTGCCTGTAGGAGAACATAAAACAAATAGTAATCTTTACCTCTAGAAAATCCCTCCTTTTATGAACTGCAAATGTAAAATATCTGTCTATCTATGGAAGTCTCTAAAGAGGCGCCCACTCCCCAAGGGAGCAGGGAGCAGGTAGTAGGACATCCCCTAGGGCTCCCAGTATGTGATAGGGGGCAAGCTGGGCTGAGGGAACCCCCTCCCCAGTGCACAAATTTTTGTGGACCGGGCCCCTAGTGTAGTATAAGAATATGAATGAAGAAAATGAAGACACCCAATTCAGGATAATGGTTACCATCAGAGGTGGAGAGTAAGGAGATCAGGGTAAGCCATAAGCCATACAGGGAACTTCCACTTCATCTAAAATGTTTATTTCTTTTAAAAATCAAATGTAAATATTCAGGGTAAATTCAATTCAGACAGAGGTGGGTGATGGACACAACAGGATTTGGACTATTTTCTAGAATTTTCTGTGTTTGATATATTTCATAATACTAATAATAAAGCCCTTGACTGGTATCTGAAACATCATAAGCATTCAATAAATGTTAGTTATTATGGTAATAATAATAGGGCACAAGTATAGCACCTTGGGACTATGACAAGAAGATTGCTTACTTCTGATTCTTAAATAAGGACCCTTTTTTTTAACTTGTCTTAGATTTAGGGTGGGTCATGGAGGGGGTACAGGACTTTAACAGGCCAACATGTGAGACAAGAGCATTCTGGTCCAAACAATCAGAGTAAGGATGAGAATGTACCCTGTGGTTGAGTAACATTCAATCTTAATTATTAGAAGATGGATGTTATAGCTCTTTGTTTACCTTAAATCCATAGAATGTTGATGTGTATGATATGTTGGTTATGTGATCCACACCTTTAAAGTACCAGTTAATGTGCTTTGCATTTGGAATCAGAGCCATCCATCCAGACATATGAGTTAGTCTTTTCTTCCGAAAGGGAACAATGCTTGTGCCTGTAGGAGAACATAAAACAAATAGTAATCTTTACCTCTAGAAAATCCCTCCTTTTATGAACTGCAAATGTAAAATATCTGTCTATCTATGGAAGTCTCTAAAGAGGCCAGTATAGCATTTCACTATATTCCAAATGTCAATGTTTAACTGAAACATAAAATGTTTCTCACTTGGACTTTTGAACTGAGATAAAGTCTTTATTCCTTAGGGAAAGAAAAAAATTGAAACATAATGATGATGACCACTATGATAGAAATGCTAAAGTATAGTAATTCAATTCTTTAAATATCATTGATCTAAAATATAATCCCATTTCTACTCTTTTAAGAACTTGATTCTTCAGAATAATTGATTTGCAATGTATGCAAATGTGAGTTTTGATTCTTTATTAGATTCTCTTATATTTGTTGACTTAATCAAAGTCTGCATACCAAATTTGAGTGAAAAGCTTGATTTAGAACTCTTTTTAAAAAAATGTTTTTATTGATTTTAGAGAAAGAGGAAGGAGAGAGATAGGAGATAGAAACATTGATCAGCTGCCTCCTGCATGCCCCCTACTGGGGATCCAGCCCGAAACCTGGGTATGTTCCCTGACCAGGAATTGAACCTAGGACCTCTTGGTTCATGGGTTGATGCTCAACCACTGAGCAACGCTGGCTGGACAAAATTTACTTTCATTTTTTTAAAAAATATATTTTATTGATTTTTTACAGAGAGGAAGGGAGAGAGATAGAGAGTTAGAAACATCGATGAGAGAGAAACATCGATCAGCTGCCTCCTGCACATCTCCTACTGGGGATGTGCCCGCAACCCAGGTACATGCCCTTGACTGGAATCGAACCTGGGACCTTTCAGTCCGCAGGCTGACGCTCTATCCACTGAGCCAAACCAGTTTCGGTTACTTTCATTTTTGAAGTTATTTGTGTTTATCTTAATTTTCTCAGCTACAATCTTTTTCATTATGTTGATTTTAAGCATTTTGGACTAAAATATAAATTCTTTGAAGTTGATATTTTAAAAAGTAGTATCACAAAGAATAATTATCTCAAATTTATTGACAATCTGTTCTAATGTCATATGCATATTTAAATATACATCATCATGTATGAGATGGTTTGATGAGGATATATTGAGACATATGTAAAGTTATGCCAAACCTTATTTCCCACTGATCTAGTAAACTTGTTGAAGTTTTTATTTATTGATATAAGAGAGAGAGAAAAGGAGATTTTATTAACAGAATCCAAGTATATTTATTTATCCTGTTAGTGTCAACATTAACCATTTTCTTCAATATATTGCAAATACTTTCATAATGTTACCTAAAATCACTATTTGCATTTAATAATCAGCCTATTTGCATTTAATAATATTTACAAGGTAGAAACTTGCAATTTGAAACTAAAATCATGCATCTCGATATATGACAACTGGATTTTGAAAATGTATAGCATGATTATACCAGTCACATTATAGCTGCTAAAATTAGCTGTGTCAAATCCATCAGGACATCCTGGAATTTTGTTATTCTACTCCATGTTATCAGATGGTCTTATTGAAATTTTTCTTAATTATAACTTCTGCCCTTCAAACAGAGTTCTATATCTATTCTCACTATACATTCTGAAACTGGAGAAATAACCATAAGATGGGCCAGTGGCCCCACTGGATGCATTGTGAGACTGAGCAAAGATGCAACCTGGCCTTCATGTTAGCATGGCCGCATTCAGGGTGTTTGAGGATTAGTATCAGTTCAGAGCCAAGATCTAATAACTCTTAGAAACTGTGGGTAGTTTCCTTGTTATATGTTTAGATTAGATCTTGATGATTATACCTTTACATAGTATCACCAAGAAGCTACAGCATTTAAATTTATGCATAAAATGCAGAACACTATATTTGATACCTATCTGTTTAGCAAATCTTTGATTCATCAATGCATTTCCTATTTTCCACAATCTGCAGTTCATCAGAACAATGCATGTGAGAGTGGATAAATTGTAGATAGCTATTTTAACTAATAACTCCTAGACAGATGATGCATCAATGAATGGATGGAAAGATAAAGAGAGAGATATATGGATCTTAGCCAGTCAGAGTAGGCGAGGTCAGATATAATGAGAATAGACATATTCAACTGGAAGAATCCCCACACTGGTTCCCTAGCTAATGGAGGGAGTGAGGGGAAATCTGGTAGGAAGGATTGAGTGAACACTCTAGGAGCCATGACTCCCTGACCCCTCACCAAGATAATAAAATATAAGCAATTCCAAATCCTTCAGGGGGGAGATGCAGATATTAGTGCCACAGTGAAAGATCTGAGAGATGCAAACACCAGGATTCCTACCATATTCTCAGTTAACTTGTTTGTTTGGCTGGTGCATATACCAGATGGATCATTAATAATGACAGAAATTAATACAATCTAGTCATGGTAATGATGTCAAGCACAGCCAGTGTTTCAGGTACAGCATCTTTCCTGAAACAAATCAGTAGATCAACAGTCTCTACCATCTGGTGTGCAGCTCCTCATCAAGCAAATACTCCCCCATCTTATTTCAATCAGCAAAGATGGTAAAAAGCATTTGCCTTCAGTGGCAGGAACAATGGTATATTTATATACTGTCTTGTTCCAAGGGCTATGTCAGCTTTCCTGCTTTGTGTCATAATACTGACTGGAGGTTCCTTAATCAGCAAAAGATCATACTGGTTCATGCATTTATTTGATACTCCTCACACGCCCGTTTTGAGTATATTTGTTTCCTGTCTAGCTTCTGACATACAAATATGCTTTTCCCAATGTTCTAAACAGCGAGCGACAACTGAAGATGATGATGATGAAAACTGAGAAAAATATTTCAATTAGTGGTTTAAACTATCCTTTTAAAAAAGATTTTATTTTTATTGATGTTTTTCAGAGAGAGAGAGAGGAAGGGAGAGGGAGAGAAACATTGATCAGCTGCCTCCTGCATGTCCCCTACTGGGGATGGAGCACACAACCCGGGCATGAGCCCTGACTGGGAATCGGACCAGCAACCTTCCTGTGCATGGGATGACGCCCAACTGAGCCACACAGGCCAGCGTGGTTTAAACTATTCTATTCCACTTACCAAAAGAGTCTGAGAGAACCACATCCTTTTCAAGCAGAGATACTGGAGAAGGCTTGTTGAACGCTAAACGATGGAAGCTGACTGAGGCATCACAGACAGACCCAGGGAACCCTACGCTCCACTCGGCTTCCTGAGTGCAGTGAGAAGGGTCCAGCAATGAGCTGTGTGGAATGACAGTGTGTCCTTTGTGACCTAGGAAATGAAAACAATCAGCATGTTTCCTACTTCATGTTATAAAACTGAAAAACCAAATGGTCTACAACGTAAAGGTACTGTGATCCATTGTACTGCTAATAACATCTAAAGGTCTTATCAACTTTCTTTTTTTTTAACATGGGTCAAAGAGACTTCATACAGAGGCTTTGCAATGGACACTGGTCAGGGAGTTAATTATGAATGTGGGATCTGAGACGCCCATGAGAGCCAAAGTAGGGGATAGGAAGTGGGATAAGTAACTTGGCCAAGATTCAAATCCAGCAGTCTGCCATAGAGCCTGTATGCTTAACCAATGAACTGCTAACTAACATTAAAAATCTAAGCTGAATTAAATAAACTAATAAAGGTTACACAAAGCTTTATATTAGAACTGTCCAAATGTTCTCTCTCTTAAAGCCACCATTAGAACAGGAGACAGAAGTCAACAAATATAGCTGAGAACTCAGTCTGTTTGAATATTAAGATGAATCTTCTTCCATCTTTCAAAGTCTTTCAAAAGTAATTATTAATATCTGTAGTTTTACTTGTCAATTTTCTCTTTCTTCTAAAGTATTAGACAGAATCTCTCTCACACACACACCCTTGCTATCTTATTTAGACAAATCTTTAGCATTAAAACTTTATAAAGACACTAAATTCTAGAAACTAAGAATATTTTTAAAATGTGACATACACTGAAATTGAAATGGTAAAAAATGTTCTTAGTTAACATATTTCTTGAACTAATTCCAAATTAATAATTTAAACTGGGAAGAAAAAGATTAATATCAGGCCTGTAACTTACTTTGAGCAGGATATGTCCAGTCTGTCTACATTACTCATATAAATAAACCTGGAATTTATGTACTTATGGGCCATGATGGATTGGAGAATTTGGGAAGTCATATAAGTAGTTCCTTATCTGTGCAATTAACTGAATACAAAATGGAAGCATTATAAAATGGAAACATGGCTTCCTTTTATGACCAATGTTTCCATGAATATTGTTCAAAATTTGCTGCTAATTCAAAACCAAGGTGCAAATGTAGCGGGGGGAGATATTATTTAGAGGCTACATCTAATAGTTTGGGGCACTTCCAGAATGGAATACCTAATAGTTTGGTACTGAGTAAAATCTGTGATTCAGCTGAGTCCGCTTTGACAATTCAACTCTGGGTTAACACGAACGTTTTCCCAATGTATTTTATCAGAAATTATAACATTACCTGTGAGTGAGCCATCGACATCAATCAGTACCACTTCATGTTCCCATCGAAAGCCAGCCTTGTTTGGTGTGTGAAAATACTGGATGTCAACAAATTTTGCACTCCAACCTCCACATCTCTCATTACAAACTCCAGTGATGGATGTCACTCCCAAAGCTACACAGTTGGGACGGTCAAAGTTCATGAAGTGTACGGAAGACACAGTCAAGCCTTCGCTAAATGGGAGGACCAGGCCTCTCATTGTACAAAATGCAGGTCCCATTCCCAATTCATCAAGATGGCCGACTATTTTGGCATTTTTAATCACCGCCCCATTGGTTTCACCCCATCCTCCAGTATAAGCGCCCAGGATCCTCTTGGTCTCGATTCCAGACTCATAATTATTTACCATCACAAAGTTATGGAACTGAAGGGCACCTCCATTGACCCATTCAGCTCCTTTTTGACAATTCCAAGTAGTAAGTGAATTAAATATTGCAGGCACTGGCACTGTAGAAGTACAAGATCCTGTTTGCATGGGGAAATATTCTTCAAATATCCATATTCCAAACCAACCTTGAGAATGAACAGTGTTGTTAAAGAATTCGCCAAGGGGAATTCTTTTTTGGCAGACGTTTCGGTCATAGGATGGCCCATCAGGGTGGTCATTCATTCGGTACCAGAAGCCAAAGTGAGTGCCCCCAGCAGCTGCATTGTGCCGAATGGTGTTGTTTGGGTTGGTTACCCAAAATGCAGCTGGGGTCACATCATCATTCAGAAGACTAGTACTTTGCTGTACAAATACTGCCAAGTTATACTGCAGGATATTGCCGTGTTCAATACCGTCTTCTATAAAAAATGCTCCTCCTTTGATATCATATATGATATTCCTCTCAACCAGAAGGTGATGAGTGTTATGGATAGTAACAGCTCTGTTGTATGTCTGGTGAATTGCACAGCCTCTGACATAAGATTTAAACTGTAAATCTCCCAGCAGGTGCCAATGTATTGGGTACCTCCCCAGCCGAAAAGCCTGGCCAGCATGGAACACCTGTCAAGCCCAGAAATCACGACTATTTAGTGGTCGACATAAACAGAGTTCACCTAGCTCATATTTTATTCTTTAAAAACAATTTCCAACTTTATATTAATTATTATTAAAACGTTAATATCTCCCATGTAATTCATGTTTGCCATTAGAAAATATTTGGCCTCCAACCCACCTTGTTTTCTTCATTATCTAACAGCTCATACTGGAGACCAATGAATTAATGAATGAACAAAAGCTGTCTTCAACTGTTCTGCTTTTCATCTCAGGCTATTATAAAACCTTTGTGTTTAGCAAAATAAGACCTCTTAAAAGACTTCTTTTCTCCTTCCTACTTCTTGAATGTTGACCATGTGCCTGATATTGTACAACGTGTCTTATCACAATCCTATCAAGTAGCCACTTATCATTAACTTCATTTTACAGTCAAAGAAATTGAAATTTAGAAAGGCTGAGTATCTTGTTTATGGCCTCCTCTGCTTGATTATAACTAGCATCTGGCAAACAGCATGAACTCAGTACACATTTGTTGTATGGATAACCTCAGGCAAACCTTGTGATTTAATAACAATGCCTCTTACCTCTACATATTCTATTCTTCCAGTTACCATGTTAGCACCAGGTACAGGAGCATGAAACATAATGCAGCCTCCAAATTGATCACTTCCTATTTCTTCTCCAAACTTTCCTTGGAGACATGTCTGTGTAGCAAATTCACCTTAAAAAAAAAAAAAGAAAGAAAAGAAAAAACATGTCAAAATCCTATAATTCTATAAAGACTTTTTTTCTCACCCTGGCCCATTTGCTCAGCAGTTAGACTGTCAGCCCCTGCACTGAAGGGGGCAGGCAAGGGCACATACCTTAGTTTGCAGGCTCGATTCCCAGCCCCAGTCTCTCTTTCTCCCTCTCTCTCTCTCTCTCTCTCTCTCTCTCTCTCTCTCTCTCTCTCTCTCCCCCTGTCTCCCTCCCCTCCCATCCTCAGGTGAGGATTAAAAATAAAAATAAAACATACTTGTTCCTCATACCTAATTATTTCTTTTATATTCACATATAATTTTAATCTCATTTGGAACATAATTATTTGCATTCACATCATATCCTCCTCTACATAGTAAGAAAGGTAAGTACCTTATACCTTGTCTCATTTACCTCTGCATCCCTTAAAATACATACTGTAAAGACAGGAAAAAGACTTTTTTCCCCCCTTTGCTACGGCCATCCACATTTTATGAGAAGCATCTGGTAATTAAACCCTTAGATTGTTAGCTCTTCTGATCAAAGAGCCCCTCTATTCAAACTCAAGACAAGGTAAGCTACTCTCAAGGCTACATTTTTGCATTCCCCCTCCTCCTTGCTGTTTTCAGAACTCAGGGATAATTCACAGCAAGGAGTCTCTAGTTAGTAGAAAGTTCCCTTTCCCCCTCCCCTTCAAACAAGCCTCTTTTTTAACTCTTCATAACTTTTTCTCTAAGCATATTTTACAGACTTGGGAAAAATACTGATAAGACACCACTCTAAGACACTTGCCAGACTGTCTCCTGGAAAGCCAACAAACTATAATTTTTCAAGGCAACCTTCTGGCATCTGCTCAACTTCAGCCCCAAATATTCCTCCCTTACTTGTCACCTATCTACAGCAGCCATTGCTTTTTAAAAAAATTTTTTTTTGTCCATGGGTTATGCATATATGCATACAAGTTCTTTGGTTGGTCTCTTTCCACCCACCCACCCACCCCA